TGAATGTTTGACAGTGTATTTTCATGTTTAAAATCGCATTATTCAAAAGTTGCAGAGATAAGAGTGTCCATTCTTCAAGAATCATCTACTTGTTTCAGTTATCGGTTGTACTCCAGCGGAAATAAATGTGCCGAAATGCCTCTCTCCAACGTACATCATAAGTTCTCTGTAGCAATTTAATCAGAAGAATACACTGACAAATCCATTTTAGGATATCGTTTCTAGAAGCCTTTCATCATCCTCAACAGCATACTGGTTTTCCAGGTTTCCTCCTATACGATACACAAATGCGGGATAATCTTCCCTAAAGGTCCTCCTGGAAGACATTACCTTCCTCCTTCAGTGACTCGGAGCTAAGTCAGACTTCAAACTAAGGGTGCTCCATCACAACAGAAACTGCCCACCCTTTCCCTTCTTCCATGAGTAGAATACTCATGGGGTGTCCATCCCGCACTGCCGGACACTGAGGATTAGTCACAACAACAACAATAAATTAGTTTAATATAGAGTTACAATTTTTTTTCTCGTTGTTTTCCATAAATTATATAAATTATATAAATTAAGCTAATTTATTATAAAATTACCTTCTATTATAATATGAAAAATGACAATATTTAAATTTTATGAACGTAAAAGGGAAACCAAGGAGAATGAGTCCTGTTTCATTCATCATTCTGTTCTGCCTACAAATACTGCACAAATTGGAAATATAATTCAACGGAAAAAAATAAAATACGCAATATAACGTTAAATATGTAAATTGCAGGCTTTAAATAATTTGTATATTTTAATTGTATATATGTTTTCACACATGTTGTTATTTTTATATTATTTTTTCTACATAAAATATTTATTGACAAAGAACTGTTATGGCAAAATGATCAGAATAAATTTTCCAAGTAACCCTCTACGATTTTTAATCATATAATATTAAAAACTGTTACCTTATATTAATTAGGCCTTGTATTTTGTTACGTTCAACAGGCTAATCTATCTGCAAAACATATTATGCACTAAAATATTATATGCAAGTTGTTATAAAAATAACAATTAAATTCAAAATCATTTTTAGGGGCGTGCTAAGATAAAGTGGCGAAATGGGAGTGAAGAATTTAAGAAGTTTCGAGTGGTATATTGTATATAATGTTGGATCAAATACATAACATCTAGTGGCGAATAACCTTAAATGAAAATTCACAATGTTCAAAAATTGCAATATGCCATTTTAAATGTTATGTATATATAATTTTATTGAAAAAATTCGAGAAAGTTTTAAAGCCGTGCTTGACATCGTAATATATTTTCTAATAATATTCTAAATAATATCCAAGTCACTGAGAGACAGAAACTCGCGCGGCCACAGAATTCTTGAGGCAAATGTCGAACAATATGTTCGTTAAATGGCTCCGGCTATGGAACTCACTTAACCGAGATTCAAAATGAGAACTTCTCGTCAAAGGAAGCCATATCGTCGGTGAAAGGGGTTTCACAGCCTTTTGAATTCGACTTCTCTCTCTGGTAATAACTGTTGCCTTTTGTGTTCAGTCTTCTCATTAACTGGGACCCGATCCGGACACTGCTTTCTGGGGACAATGGGCCAGCACGCTAATGATCGCCATCAAGCCGCAAGCTTTCCTGGGGCCCAAAAATGGGATTCTGGGAAAGCTGATTATGAAAGGAATGGAAAGGCACAAATCATTTACTTGTTATTTAGTTCTATTTGTGTATGTTCGTATTGATATTTTTAAATTTTTTTTTTTGAACATGTTTAGAAAAAATTCCTAATAAAGTGAAGAATCGATTCTTTACTCTGTTTTGATAAGTAGATATATACTAATGGATCACAATTAATTTTTCCCCTTTACTATTCATCGTTTTCAAATATGTATTACTACTGACGAGATTATGAAGTGCACCTCCTTCGGTAAAGACTATTAAGGCTAATCGCCTAAAATCTACAATCTTAATGAAAAACAAGTAACATAAAAAAAATTCAATTCCTACTTTTTTTCACTATATTGCAGAAAGTCCTTTTTAAATAATTTTCATTCATTTTTTTAAGTTTATCTGGCGCCATCTATTGGTAGATATATGCAACTTAAATCTAAAAAAAAAACTAAAATTAATTAATTAAATTTAATTACTGGATTTATATTTGAAAAAACTGTATTAACATCCAATGCCATTCACTAATATCCAATAACATCCAAAGTACAAGTTCAAAAAAAATTTATTTGAACTTGAGTGGATCAATAAAAAAGTATTTTATGAACGATTTAAAATTTGAACAAGATATATATGTGGAGGCTGTGAGCTAATAGAAGGAATTGAATTAATAAAAAAAAATCTCACATCAGGCAGCCTAAGTGCCAACAGACAATCTGCATGATTTTATACAAATCATTTACTTCTTATTTAGGTCTATTTATGTATGTTCATATTGATATTTCGAAGTCATGGTGGCCGAGAGGTCTAAAGCTCCTAATGTAAGTTCTGGTTCTCCAATCAGTTCGGAGGTTCGAAACCACGGTCTTGGTCCTGAATGGCCGAGTGGCTAGCGCTCCGGCGCTTGGTACCACAGGTTTCAGGTTCGAGTCCCAGCGGTGCCTTGGATGTTTGTAGTGGTTCGGAATCCACTTTAAACCGTAGGGCCCTGTCTAATAGGATCGTAGAGCGTTGCGGGGGCATTGTTACTCCGCGTCCGTGGCTTATCTTCAAGTTAATGCAAAGTAATTAACTTGCCCCCTGGGTAATGCAAAGTGAGTAAGGTCTTTGCAGCGCTTACCTTAAGGCATCAAAGACCAAACTGTCTAAATGCCAGCTGCATTAGAAAGAAAAAAAAAATATTGATATTTCAATCTTTTTTTTTGAACATGTTTATAAAAAATTCTTAATAAAGTAGTGAATCGATTCTTTACCCTGGTTTTGATAAGTAGAAAGATACTAATGGATCACGGATCATTATTTCAACTTTATTACACATAGTGGTCCTATATATATCACTACTTACCAGTAATTAAGAAGTGCCTTTTCTTCGGTAATGACTATTAGGGCTAACTGCCTAAAATCTATAATCTTAATGAAGAAATATATAAATAAAAATAATTCTGGCATCATACAGTTTAGGTACCATCAGACAATCTGCATGATTTCATACAAATCATTTACTTGTTATTTTGTTCTATTTATTTATGTTCATATGGGCCTGAATGGCCGAATAGCTAACGATCTGGCGCTTGGTACCACAGGTTTCGGGTTTGAGTCCCGGTGGTGCCATGGGTGTTTGTAGTGGTTCGGACTCTCTTTTAAACCAAAGGTCCTGGTCTAACATGATAGTAGAGCTTTGCGGAGGTAATATTACTTCTTGTCTTCCAGCTACACGTACCTCCTGGGGAGTTCTAAGAGAGAACGTCGGTGCAGCGCTTGACTTAAGGCATCAAAGTCATCTAAGTGTTTGCCATTTGCATTAGAACAAAAATAAAATATATATTCCTATTGATATTTTCGCATTTTTTTTTAATGTTTAGAAAAAAATTCCTAATAAAGTAGAGAATCGATTCTTTTACTCTGGTTTTGATAGGTAGATAGATACTAATGGATCACGGTCCTTCCAGGGATTTCCCCTTATTATACATTGTGTTTCACTATGTATCGCTACTGACGAGCGATTAAAAAGTGCATTTGCTTCGGTAAGGACTATGAGGGTTAACTGTCTAAAACAGGAGTGGCCAACCGCGGCCCGAATAGAATATTTTTCAGGCCCTTGAGATTTTTCACACTTTTACAAAATATATTTATTTTATAAGAATCAAAATAGTGCAAACCAATGTATTAAAAAAAATACTTTATATGTGCATAATTATATTCAAAAATTAATTGCCGAAAATATGAGGAATAATTAACTTTTATTTTAAAATAATATTCTTACGAATATATGACAGATACTGCGAGTTTTATTTATGAGTTTACAGTTATGAGTTCGCAGAATAATTAAATTATATTCAGCGAACTGATGATATGGACCATCAGGGGCCATCCCTAAGCACAGTCCATTGTAAATAGCAGAACAAACCAGACTCTTAATTGAAGTTTTTAGCGTGTTTGGTTCAACTTACAGCTGCGGCTGCGAATAGTATTTTTTTTTTCTATTTTCCGAAAATGAAATTGGCCACACACAAAACACGCTCAAATATTACGGACGCAACAAAAATTATGATGTGCAAATACCCAAATTGAGATGGATTTTTCAAAGCTAAGTGAAAGAGGGGCGAAACAAATTTCGCATTAGTAAAATAAATATTATTTAATGATTTCATTTTTTTTTAATTCGTTTACATTTATATATTTTTTATTTTTTATTGTTATATATTTCTTTGCAATGGCGTTTAGTATCATTATTATCATATTACTTACATTTACATGTAAGAATAATATGAATAATCAATAATAATAATATTATGTTTCAGTTTTTCACTCCAAAAATGTTTATAGTGGGTCTAAATCTAATATGGGAATATATAATTTTATATGTGTCTCGCTGAGTTATGATGCATTTCAAAAGTGGCCCGCAAGACCATTTGAATTGGCCATCCCTGGCCTAAATTATACAATATTAATGAAAGAAAGAATAAATAAATAAAAATAAATCTACATCAGACAGTGTGCATGATTTTATATACCTTGTCACAATCGCTAACAACTCATATTGAGTCATCTTGAACGATAGCTACGCACGTTACCATGGTTACGAGGAAGACGCCGTGATTGGGCAATGGGCGTTAGATTGAATTAACTCCTATTGGCTTAGGCATTAAATTGCCAATCGGAAAATTACCAAGGATCAATGGTCCATGCCCTTCGATAAAAAATATACTTTAATTTAACTGGTCTTTAATCCAGTTTAAGTGATCTCTAAAATCTAAACAAAGGGGTTCTTAATTTAAAGGTCTATAATGCCTAATTTACCTTATCACTTGTTTAATCTATTACAAATATTAGCCAACGGCCGTACCATGCTGAATATACCGGTTCTTGTTAGATCACCGAAGTCAAACATCATTGGGCGCGGTCAGTACTTTGGATGAGTGACCACCTGGGAACATCGCGTGCCGTTGGCAAATTTGGGACCTGAATGGCCGAGTGTCTGGCGGCGCTCGGTGCCACAGGTTTCGGGTTCGAATCCCGGCGGTGCCATGGATGTTTGTAGTGGTTCGGAATCCACTTTAAACCGTAGGTCCCGGTCTCCTATGACTGTAAGAGCGTCACGGAGCAAAAGTCAGGCTTCTACCTACGGGTGCTCCATCACAACAGAAGCTGCTTTCTTCCCCTTCAATCATGAGCATGTATGGGCTCGTGGGCTTGGCCAGCCAAGTGGGATAAGAAACAACAACAACAACAAATATTATCTATACGAAATTCTACAATCAAATTTGAGCCAAAGGCTTCCGTGTATATGCCGGGGCTGCAAGTGATATATGAGAAGGTAAGAATGTTTTTGTTACACAATAGGATAATAGGAAGAAGGTACGGACATCACAGATATCACGCCTTGAAATGTTTGCTTCAATTTTCGTGTCAAACATTTTGGATGTGATATAACCGGCTTCTTGTGGTGATATTGAATTTGTAATGTTTCTGCTGTGCTAGAGCGTGATTTTCCTGATTCGTACTCCTGGTATTTAAAACCAATACAATATTATTTTTTTAAGATTATCTGTAGAAACAATACTTTATTTTTTATTACATAACAATTTCATTCATGCAGAAAAAAAAACGTTAGCATTAAACTTGGCGAGTTTTTAAAACAAAGCTGAAAAAATATGCTATATGTAATGTATTTTAATAATATTTAATTTCAATGCCAAAATCCTAATGCATTTTCATTGTATCATAATTATGGTAATATCTTTAATATATTGCAAATTTAATACATAATGCTTTTTCAATGTTATTTGACTTTATATCATACATTTTAGAATATTAATCTTGTTCTTCATTTTACTGTTAAACGTGGTCAATGGAATTAAAAAAAAAGTCTTCACTAGCCCATAAGTAATCAATTTAAATTCATAATAACTTAAATTATTCATTTTATGATCATGCAGAAAATTAAAAATATAATAAAGAAAACAAGTAACACATTTTGATTATATATATATGTGCGTTAAACACTAAATTAAACACATAATAGCATGCATATAAATATATATATAAATGGTCGGTAGTTGCAGTTGCAGTCAACTCTTCCTGGAGCGATAGCTTTTGATACTCACAGTATGTAAGCGATACTTATCAACAGTTAGGTTGTCAAGTGTTTTGCTGTTTTACTACCATATGATATGCCAATTCTGTATAATTTCCCTTTCAGTGATTCTGATTAGCAAAATACTTCGTCTGTTGTCAGCCAATTCGCTATTTATGTGATACTTTGTAGGAACACCATGTGCAGAAAGAAAATTTATGTTATTGTAAATCCTCAATTGAATACATTAAATACACAAAAATACACATGATATGCACTAATAATAACAACATAATAGCATGATAACGTGCACTAATAATAACAACATAATGGCATGATAACGTGCACTAATAATAACAACATAATAGCATGATAACGTGCACTAATAATACAAATAAAACACATGATAACATGCACTAATAATAACAACATAATTTCATATTCTTCCTTGCTTAATATTACCGAATCCTTATTAATCAATATAGAATGAGAGAGACACATCTTCTTTATGATCCGAATATACAAAAAAATACAAGACATATCGACATATTTACAGAGTTACAATAATGGTAACAGTGTTAACGCGTGATAATTTTTAATTATATCTTTATTATAGTGTTAAATATTATTAGGAATTCCAATTTTCAGTTTTCCTGCTTGATATCCGCCCTACATACTCCCTCTCATCTTCTCTTGTTCTTTTATATACCTTTCTGCAAACAGCAGTTGTCCGATTATTTTCCTAAATTTTGCAGAGACAGTACTACATTAAAGATGATACCTAGTGTAACGACTCGACCTATACTAAGACCTATAATAGCTTCAAAAATAGTGTCACTTTCAGGTTCATGGGAATACTTTACTCTTTTTCTTTTCTCCAAAAATCCCCCTTTAAGAACATCCGTCATCAGCGGAGGTGTCAGCTTCCCTCACTTCATGAGCCGACTCTTCCTCAACCCAAGACCTAGCACCAATCACGATGCAACAACTCATGGCTGCCTGATGGTCAATTGGCTAGCGCTTTGGCCTTTGATACCCTTGGCTTCATATTCGAATTCTGGTGGTGACATTGATGTTTGTTAGTGGTTCGGAATCCACGATAAACTGTAGATCCCGGTCTAATTAGCCCAAAGTGTGCCCAAAATGACCTTAGTGCGACAAACCAAACCAAGCCATGCAACAACTCATGACGCTGTCTGTATCCCATCTGTAACTGTTTCGACCTGTGAAGGTCGAACAGACAATCGTTAATTTCATGAGGTTTTATTATCCATGACACTTATTATTTGCAGTCAGATTCGAGTGGCAGTTGTTCTCATTAATATAAAACACTAATTGCATGTAATATAAATAGACAAAATACTGCTTATCTGCTGTCAGATTTGAGTAATATGTTGTTACCGTGCACTTGTTAAAGAATATAAATTCCTTTCCCCTGGGAACTGAAATGCAATATCTCCTCCCGTGGGATAAATGCTACAGCAGTTTCCTGGAATTTCTGACTGTGAAAGAATAGTGTATCACATTGAGTTTACTCTTTATATATACAGTTTAACATCTAAATTGTGAATATTATAAAGGTTAGCATTCTAAGAGGATGGAATGAGAATAAAAATTACAAAAAGAAAATGTATATTTATGTTGTTTGTTGTTTCTTATCCCACTTGGCTGGCCAAGCCCACAAGCCCATATGGACTCATGATTGAAGGGGAAGGAAGCAGCTTCTGTTGTGATGGAGCACCCGTAGGTAGAAGCCTTACTTTTGCTCCGTGACGCTCTTACAGTCATAGAAGAGCGGGACCTACGGTTTAAAGTGGATTCCGAACCACTACAAACATCCATGGCACCGCCGGGATTCGAACCCGAAACCTGTGGCACCGAGCGCCAGAGCGCTAGACACTCGGCCATTCAGGTCCCAAATTTGCCAACGGCACGCAGTGATCCCAGGTGGTCACCCACCCAAGTACTGACCGCGCCCAATGATGCTTGACTTCGGTGATCTAACGAGAACCGGTATGTATATTTATAAAAATAATAAAAGTTCCGCAAAAACAAAAGTTGTTACTTACTTCCTTGTTGTTATAGAATCCAACATCGTTGTAAAATTGATAAAAACTATTTAATAATTGAAAAAAAAATGGTTAATGAGTATTAAAAGGTCTATATATATTATTTTTAAAGATTTATATTTATTCGCCTATATTTAAATAAAATATTTAGTTTTCTTCACTTAAAGATGTATTTTTACATATGCATAACAAACAGAATGTAAGTACATTTCAGATTAGTTGTTTTTTTAAATATTACTTAGTTGAAAACAATATTCAATTAATATATGTTGTAGCAGGCTAGGTGTCTAAAATTGTTTAAGTTTATGGATAATCGTAAAAATATCTACATTGCTATAACTTCTATAGCAGATAATCTAATCTGTTGTGCCAATCTTTTTCCACTGCTGATATGCTGCAGTCCAAGTACTAATACTACGTTCTAACAAATCTTAAGAATATTCTTCTTTCAATATTTCAATTTTTTTATCTGCAAGTATGAGTTCACTCTCCTGTAGGATTAAGAAATTTAAGGAATTAATAATGCTTTGTGTTATGTGGATCTTTCTTTAAGATGTAAATTTACATCATCCAACAATTAATTAAAAAATGCAATCTAAAATAAGATACTGTTGATTCTGCTGGGATATTAGAATGATGAGTTTGTCGTTTGTCGTTGTTTTAGCCTATCATACAAATCCTAATTATACTAATTTCCAATTAATTCAAGACCACTAATCAAAATATGGAACAAGTAATCATAGAAGATATTTTTTCATATCTTCTTTCCTAGAATAAGAGCACATTTCTGACGTATTATTTCTTTTAAAGAGTATTCATTAACGGAAAACTTTTTTTCAATATCTCAGACGTAATTTCAGGTATCTTTAATATTTCACGCGTCTGCAATAGACAAATTTTGAGAATGAGTGAGATTGAGAAACGTACATATAGTGCTGATGGGAATTTTTCTTTTATTTTGGTTTGTATATCTTTGAATGGTCCAGTACCATCATATCTTTGAAATATTATGGGTTATAAATTGAAACCTAAGGATACTGAAATGTTCAAAATTGTATTTCAGTTGTTGGACTTCAAACATATATTAAAAATTATTTCTTTGCTAATATGCATACTTTCGTTTTGTATTTTAGGCGAATAATTTGATCCGATATTACCAGACGATTTTAAATGCTCTCTCAACATTTAATCTCCTGCATCAATTCAGAATAAGCAGATGATAGAAATTCCCATCGTGATGGCTATAATCTTTTATTTCATCTATTCCGTTAAATTCATCGTAATCACGTTGAAATCATAAAAAAGTCATTTCTATATAACAAAACTCAATTTCCTTTCTGCCTTCTTTTGCCTGTCGAATTTTGACACTATGAATAATATCTGTTATATCTTATCGACGCTCTCAAATTGCAAACAGTTAGTAAAGAATAGTGAGAATAATTGTTTTCTTAATGATTACAGAATTTTCTGTCGATTTGGTTGATTAAATAAATGACCCCATGGTTGACTGCTTGATTTTCTCGTTTTATTGCTTGGCAAAAACAATACAATATTTACAGTAAATGCCACCTTCAATTTTGTAATAAGTGAGACTTGTGTATTCTAACTGTAAATTACATAAAATTTTCTCTTCAAGTCTTCCTTATCAAAAGAATACATTAGCGATGTACTTGTAACAGTTGACATCCGAAAACTTCCCAGAAACACATCTTTTTTTCCGTCAGTGGGATTATTTGGATTTCATCAGTGAAGTATTTTTCAAAATGTTTTGTTGTTTTTATTTCAATTTTGAAAATTTATGAA